TAACAATTAATTAATATTCAATTCAGAGAAATCTTCTGCAAAATCTATTACTTCTTCGCTCATGTCTACACTCATATCAATTTTTATAACTTGTCTTAATAAATAGTTTATCTTCCATATTATATTTTTACACTTTTCTGCTATTAATCCAACAATAACATGATCATATACAAATTGACCAATCATTTCTTCATCATCAAATCTATATTTGTAAACGTGGTTATCATTTAATAGCAAAATAATCTCATAAATACAATCTAGCATATAATACTTATATTGCTATTGAAAAAATGTTGTATATTATTGTGATTAATTGTAGCACTTCTTCGGGTGTACAGGGTGTACATTATTGGACTAGACCATTACAAAGTCAAATATCTCGAAAGGTATTCGGTCTAGAAATTTAAATGATATATAAAAATCTTCATCAACTGCGGGAGTTTTTGTTATAATATGGTCAATATCCTTGACCTCCTATTTTAGAAATAATCTCAAATCAATCAAAATTTTGTCATTTTTTCCATAGACATAATGTTAAATTCAAACTTATTTTTGAGCAAAATCCTGAAATAAATTTCAAAGTATTTTTGCTCCTGTTTAAGATTATGTAATTAAAATTATTGTGCTGTATGTAGTTTTTGGTTAATTAATGGGTTTTCAATATTTCAGATGTTAAGTGATCTCAAAATATACAACTTTTGCAAATAATCTTCTATAATACAAAAACTACATGCAGCACAAGAATTTTGATTACAGATTCTTAAACAGGAACAAAAATAACTTAAGACATATTTCAGGATTTTGCTTAAAAATAAGTTTGAATTTAACATTATGTCTATGAAAAAAATGACAAAATTTGATTGATTTGAGATTATTTCTAAAATAAAAGATCAAGCATATTGACCATATCATAACAAAAACTCCCGCAGTTGATGAGGATTTTCATATATCATTTGAATTTCTAGACCGAATACCTTTCGAGATATTCGACTTTGTAATGGTCTAGTCCAATAATGTACACCCTGTATTTGTCATACTGGAAATTACCTATGTGTATTTTCAGTAATTAGTAATAAGTTTTTCATAAATTATTTCTGCTAATAAATATTTTTTACATTAATGACTTATTTTGCAATAATTAATGATTAGTTATTTTCCATAAATTTATTATAAGCAATCGAATTGTTTTCACCTTGTGTGAAATATACTGCTATATAAGCAGCGTATTATATATTGTACTTCACTTTTCCTATTTATAACTCTTAAAATACAGTTCAATAAAAACAATTATTTCAATAAAACATGCCTTTGTTTTGTGAATTAGTCTTAGCCTATCATTTGGTCATAGGCTGGGATATGCTGTGAAAGCGTTCAAAGGCAGCGAACTGTAGAGAGTCTTCGGGAGAAGTCTTGCTTCATTTTTCAATAAATGACAAATGTGAATAACTTTTTAAGTTGTATTCACTGATCAATTGTTGACTCTTAGCACCACTTTTTAATTTATGAATTATATCATACTTTGTCTGAATCGACAATTTGTTACGTTTAATGATTGAATGACAAATTAAGTACATCATAAAATTTACTAAAGGTAATTATTTTATATTATATTTAAGCCACGTTTTTGTAATTATAATGCATTTTTTAAAATTTAAATTGATTTCACAAGGGAAATTTTTCAATTATATCATGCCAATAATTATTTTATATTTAACATAAACCAAATTTCCTAATGTTTTAGCAAGTCTATAAAAAATTAGTAAAATAGCCTTTTAACAATTTTCTGATCTTTATTACTGATATGTTTCTATTTCTATAAATCCATTAAATATATATTATATAGACATAAATTTTAATGATTAAAAGCTTTATATTTCCAGTAAATGCTATTAAAAATCCAATGAATAAAAATACCCGAATAATTAAATATTGCTTTGTATATGGCATTGAAATAAATATTACATTATTTCTGAGAGAGAGAGAGACTTTAGTTATGCCGGTTACGGTCTGCGTGTATCTGTGCCGACGATAATGTTTCTACGGCTCAGCGATAGTGTCCTCTGAGTATTGGTGAGGACAGTGTTGTCCCCATCCGTTGCAATACGACCAACGCTATAGCGGTTACGCTTCTGGCCATAAGCATCGTTACGGGTGGTACACAACACTGTAGTATAGCGCACAGCCCTATCATGTTTGCTAATTGTGATAATGAGGTTAATTTATTAAGTAATAGTTGTGTATTAAAGCATATAAACACTTACCAACAAGTATAAGATTAAACGCTATGTTTAGTTTACAATAATTGTTGTGTTGTTGCGATACAACTGACCACTGGTTGAGTGCGACTAATGTATGGCGTAATTAATAGATATCAATACATTAGTGGCACTCAATCCAGTGATTAAGTGTTGATCAATGGCTGCCTTAAACATCACATATGGTAAATAATAATTAACTGTATATCTCTACATAATTTACAGGCATTTAGCAATATGTAATGTTTAGTGACTTAACTTATATTTACAAATAACTTGCTTTATATTCAATATAATATTCTTGAAATATATAAAATATTTAATTATATTTATTAACGACCAATTTCCTATTAAGTGATGTGTCTCAGGGAAGTTTTTTTTTATGTAAAACAGTACATTAAAAATTATTATTTATTTAGCAACAAGATGTTGAAAATTAAAACAATTTTAATTAATTAGCAAAATGCTTTGTTTATTAAAAAACAAATGATATACAAATGTATATCCATGTTAAAGCTGGACATAGTTTTACAATATTGATAAATCAATTATTTTAAATTCAGATATAGCATAATAAATCATTGTATTATATAAAACATGTTTATAACTCAGAAAACTGACCTTAATTATAATATTAATTTTAAACCAACCTAGTTCAACATTTTTAGCAAATAACAAACAAATATAAATTCCATAATAATCTATATTATTGTCTAAGTAATAGTAAATATTCTCTTATAAAAGCTCCTATTGAGAATTACATTAAACCACCAAGGTTGAATTAATGATCAGACTTATTGAATAGACCAGGGTTAAAGAAAAGCTTTTTATCCACTGTGACCATCTTGATTTCCGTTTGGCGATTGGTCTTATCCTTTCGCTGCAACTCCTCCTCCAATCGGTTAACAGACTTTAAAACCACAACAAAATTAATGACTGAATTAATTGTTATAATTATATAAAATCAATACAAAACACATACCATAACAAAGAGCTGATACACGTTTTTCTGCCACGAGTACTGCGCTATGGTATGGCTGAGCGCCTGACCGAATACACTCACGTGACCGATAGGACCGTTGACCTGGTCGTGCCATGCTTTTGACCCTGTTGGTATGTGTAATTAAATAGATTTCTATTAACATTAACCGTCATAAAGTGCAATGTAAATAATAAATGCATAGAATTTAATTAACTAGAGTTAATTATAATAAAATTATTAGCATATTTTAATAAATGTTACAATTACCCTGAGCGCACGCATAAATAACATGCGTTAGTTTGTTATCGGTTTTCCATTTGGTGTCCAAACTGGTCATTGTGTCGATGGACTGGCTATTGACAAAACCCGGTGCCAAACACTCTGTGTCACTCACTGTTTATAATGACAAAATAAAATTAACAAAATTAAAATTTTTAACCAGCTCGGCGAATTATTTTATTTAGCATACTTTCGCTGCAACAGTTGAATATAAACATCTTAGCCTTTTGGGCCAACGGCCGGCACCGGGTCTCGGAAAACATGGCCACTATATCTCTGACGGGCAGCACATCTCCCGGTGCCGGCGGCCACTGCGGAAACGCTGACCACCCGATGATACGCTCGTTATATCCGTGACCGATAAACATCATGATAAAAGCGTCGCCCTTGTACTTGGTGTTTGTATCGGCCACCTCGCTCAATTTGGCCACAGTCTGATCCCGGGTGAGCGCCGGGCAAATCACCGGTTCAAATAGTAATTGCTGAAAAATTGACCTGTATCGTTCGGCCTCTAGAGCAAGTTCAGGTACGGTGACAAATATTAAGGCAACCCCACGGGGTTTGGCGTCCATTTTCAGCTCATTGGATGTGTTGGACTGAAGTGTTTGCCCGGGCGTTACATCCAAGTTAATGGTGTATACATTGTTCCAGGGCTTTTCTGTTTGGTCCATGATGGTCTTAGTTTGCCTGTCACTGATTGAATGAATGGTAGTGTTAAGTTTGGCAATTAATTTATATAAGTTTATTAATAGCGGTGTTGAGAAATTCAAGTAATTGCTGTGCAAATGTAAAATTATTTAAGTTTTGTTTTTATTTGTTATGTTATCTATTCTCTCTCTCTCTCTCTCTCTCTCTCTCTC